TCTTGTAGTTATTGCTGCTCTATTTTTTTTTTTTTTTGGTGGCAAATTGAAAACCAAACAACCAGCTAAAAGAATGGTAATTCTTTACATTTCTCTTTTATTCAGTGCCTACTGAGGAGAACAATGTTTTCAGCATTATTTCTACACTGCTTGTTTTACCAAAAAACTGCTGTTATTATTTAGAAGCAGGCTGCTGCTTTTCCTTTCTAGACAGCTATATTGTACAAACTTGAGTTCTGCTGCTACGGTCCATGCTGTGCACAGGGCTGATATCATCTAGCTCAGCTTCACCTTCTCCCTAGTGTCTCCAGAGGTTGGAGTGGGACCTGCTGTCTAAATGCATTTTAGGATGGAGAAGAATGTAGCAATAGCCAATGAGAAGAAACTCTTGTAGGCTTCTCTCCTACAGCGTCATGACATGGACTCAGGCTTAGAATACAGGCTATTAAAGATGGTCATCACAGAAGGAAACTGATGAGGTAAAACAAAAGCATTGAATTATGTTTCTGGCTCCTTGAACTTTTTTCCTCCCTGGATACACAGCTTACCATAGTCTGGTGGATATCATTTCATTCTACTGTCTAGCATGCTCACTTCACATTGTAAAGTGTTTTGTTTTGTTTTGTTTTCATGAATATAGTAATTGTATCCTGCCAAGATGCAGTGACATGGAGATATAACTTGTCTACAACTTCATTTTTCACTTCCTGCAATTCAGATGGACGTTTTTATGCTACACAGCATCAAGAAGTGTTTACCCATATCAAGACTTACATATACCATATCAAGACTTTTAAGACTTGCAGTCCTCTTTCTTGTCCAGGGTCCTTAGCGAGAAACTGCTAAGTGATGAAATGGTGCCATTGCTGGCATCAAGTCTCCTCTTACCTCTTGCTCCTGCTAAAGAGGTCATCTGAAGAAGTAGGAGGTTTAAATACCCATCATCCCTGAGTCTTCCTGCAGGAAGTGACTTTGGGTGTGTTTATGTCAGCCAATATTGCTCTAAAGAAGTGAGCAATAAAGAACAGAGGAAGAGGCAGCAGAACACAGGCTCTTCATCTCACAGTCTTTTCATCTCACTGACTCCAAAGAGCATAGTGAAGTTGAGACTAGACAGTGCCACTTAAGATAAACTTATCGGCATAAAATCCCAGCAAAAGCTTCTCAAATAGAAGTTATCTACAGAAAAAAAATAATGATAAAATCTTCCAAGGTCCCAAATGTATCACAGAACCATACATCTTACTCCCAAATGTGACTATCACAGTATATAAGTCTCTATTCCATTGAATGAACCAAAATCAAAAGCTTGTATTCTGTAATAGGGAAAACTGAAATAATAAGGTACTAATTGTAATAGATGCTTGATTATATTTTTATATTAAATTAGGAGTCCTGTTCTATTAATATATTTTATAGCAGAATGAAAAGTTAAACAGACAATATTTTGCAGAAGACGAAAATAAATTTAGGTAATAGTATGAATGCTAATTGTAAGGTTGTAATAGATTCTTCAGGTCTGTGACATCCTTAATCTGAGACTGGACTTTATCTGGAAGAGATAAACCTCAAATATCTGGTGTGTAGGCGTTAGTATGGGATGAATCACTTTTCCAAGGTGCCCATCCCTCCTCACTGACTCTGAAGGTAGCACAGGTGCAATGCTAATGCTGCCTGAGATTAAGCTCTGCCTAGACCATATTTTATTGTGCCTTCTTTTAAAAGCAGTGTAATTACATACACATTTGAAGTCCCTGTCTCTGGTCAGCACTGGGTGCTTTAAGACGCTAATTTCAATCACACACAGAGACTGTGTAGTGCCCTGTATTTGAGAAGGGACAGGTCTTTTTTCATCCTCAGGTTAATCAATTTGTACCAGCAACATTAAACCAAATTATTTGGTCTGCTTCCTGCTTCAAGCAGAACAAGCTCCCTGGATGAGCGCATCCTGTCTCAGACAGCATGTATGAAGATGCTCTGAACGAATACAGGTGTTTCCACAATGTTTTTTTCAAACCTGTCTTCATTTGCGGTGAATTAGTGCTAGTAATCAGACTGGGGGCAAGTGTAGACAAGAACAAATGACCTCTTATCACCACGTTCATAATCTTAAATACCTCAGTTAGTTGTATTGTAAACCTGTGTAAGAGATTTCCAAACAAACAAAAAAAAAGACAAACTGATGTATTGCTCTAGTTGTATATTTGAAATGAGTGTGACTCCAGGGCAGGAGCAGCTGGTGGGACACAGGAGCCACCAGCCCTGAAGGGCAGGCAGAGGGCTTGGGGCTGCTGTGAGCCCACCTCCATCCAAGATCTACTTTCACAGTTGACCCTTCCGCATTTCCACTGCAGCTCCATGGTCACAGCAGGCCTTTTGGAAACATCTCTGTTCCATTTTCTGAAAGAAACGGAGGTATTTGTATATAAGGATCAGTCCCCCAAAGGGAAGAGCCTTTCCTAAAAAGAGGGGAAAAACCATCCTGCAGGTTTCACTGGGAGGGAATTCATCTCCATCATGGAGAATCTGTGCTCCCACTGACTGATCCCATACCTTTATTCATGCTGGCTATGGCAAGCTTGTCCCTTAGCTGTGATGAGTACATACGAAATCTAATTTATCATTATCTGAAAAAGATGCAGTTTTAGTGAGCTCAGTGGAGAATTTGCTTTCCTTAATCTCCCTCAGCAGGTGGCACATCAGGAGGAAGATGTTGCTAGATAACTGCCCCTCACTTTCTGTTATTGCCACCCCAAATACATCTGTGCACAGTGTGTCTGTGGCAAGGTGGTGGTGCTGTGGGGGCTGCAGGGTGGCCTCCGTGAAGAGAGGCCTGGGCTGCCCTGTGCTGGCCCCAGCCAGCTCTAGCTGACTCCAGCTGGTTTCAACCAGTACTAATCAGCTCCAGCCTGTTCCAGCTGGTTCCAGCCAGTTCCAGCAGGTTCCAGCCAGTTCCAGCAGGTTCCAACCAGCTCCAACAGCCCCAGGCCAGGACCCAGCTGAGCCCCGCAGCCATGTTGGTTGGCCTCTGGGAGCAGTTTCTAGTGTTGCTGAGGATAAATTACAATTTTTTTGTCTTTGTTTCTCACCATCCAGCTCTATTTTAATTGGCAGTAATACAAATTACTTCTCCCCAAGTCTTTTTTTTTTTTTTTCCTTTTCTTTATTTTTTGCCCATGATGGTAATGGGTAAGAGAAAAGTGACCTTGCTGCCTCTACTGTGACCTTTTTTTTTTTTTTTTTTTTTTCTGATGAGCTTTTTCATCACATTTTCTCTCCTTGTCCTGTGGAGGAAAGGGGATTGAGAGAGCGTGGCTGGCAGCTGGCCAAGGTCAACCCCACACCATCCATTAAAGTTTTGCATCACAGGGTTACAGATTTGGCGAAAGAAGATGAAGAAAAAAATTGGCAAGGAAAAAAAAATCAATATGTATATTTAATTTAATAAATACTCCTCTTTTTTTTCTGTGTGTGTGAGTAAAGACAGAACACAAAAAGAGATTAAAAGTCTTACTTTACAGTGCTTTGAGGATGAGATCTGCCATAACACATCCCTGTGGTGCTGCAGTGAAATTCTTACCACTGTGTTCGGTTTCATGAATTAATTTAATTAGCTGTTGTTTGCTGAAGAGATGGACCTATGCCAGGAGCGCTGAATCCAGACTCAAACAGCATGTGTGTGTGTGCACCATATGAAGAGGCTGGGGCTGAGCTCTGGGCAGGTGTTGTGAGCAGAGCTGGGCTGAATACGAAGGCAGGGAGGACCTGCTCACAGCAGGTGCTAGGAATACGAGCCCAGACTTACACCTAGATGCAGCAGACAGAGCAGGGGACTTAATCAGCACTTCTCATTACAGCCCCTGCGAGCGCCTGATGAGAAACCCAGCACAGCTGGGAGCATCACAGGTGCTTTGAGTTCTGCCTTCTGGGATATGTGGGGCATGTTCCAATTTCCGCTGTCTGTACCATATTGTGAAGGGTACTGAGCTACTGAAGAAATATCTGAGAGTAAATTTAGGTAAAGAGTGTGTCAAGGGCCTTACAGAAGTCCAGGCAGATGACATTGGTTGGTCTTCCCTCAGCGCTGATGCAGCCTCACCTTGAACATTGTGTCCAATTCTGGGCCCACAATATGAAAATGATGTTAAGGTATTTAAATACATCTAGAGGGGGGCAAAAGCTGGTAGAAGGGCTGGCAGGCATGTCCTGTGAGGAGAAGCAGAGGACACTTGGGTTTGTGTAGTTTGGAGGAAAGGAGGCTGAGAGGTGACCTACCCGCAACTCCCTGAGCAGGGGAAGCACAGAGGGAGGTGCCGGTCTCTGCTCCCTGGTCACAGATGGCAGGACTAAATTTTGGACTAAACCACAGGTGGCAGGGGACCAAAAGGATCTGCACTGTATCAGGGCTGGTGTATAATCCTGTATAGCTGAGCGTACATATATGCAACTGTCTCTTAGAATAACAGTTTTTCTTTGCAGTCCTCCATCCATAGTTCGTGCTTTCTTGGCACCTATGGATCTGGCTGAGGAGTATCAGAGGGGATGGGATGTCCACACAAGCACAGCAGTGATTTGTACAAGTCAAGGGAAGAATTTTAATACTTATGGCTTGTCTCTACAACAGTGCTTTAAATGCATCAGTAACTACTCTTCGTGCAATAAAGACATTGTTATAGCAGTATGAAAGTGCTCAGATCCTTGATGTGGTGGTTTCATCCTCACCTAGCTATTTATGGCTATTTACAGTTGTAAATCTAAGTAGTGAAAAACAGTAGCAATTACTCTTCTGACAGGACAGTTTTAACTGCATAACTTCTGAAGTCAGAGATCTGGATTACACCAGAAATCTTTGCTGAGGCCAAAGTTGTGATTGAAACAGCATCTGAAGAGTTTGAAAGCACTCTAACCTGTGAGTGCTGCTGGTTTTCACTTTTTTTAATAAGCATAATTCATGACACTGGTGTAATGTCTTTTTTTTTTTTTTTTTAATTCCCTCACAGGTTGGCTGGATTAACTGGCTGTCATTCAGAGGGAACTTGGCAGATCTATTTTGCTTTCGTTGAACCTCTCTACTGCATGTCGTGAAGATTTCCTGGGTCCAGACGCTGCACTAAAGACAACTGAGCAACACAAAAATGTGACTTTGACAAGAGACTCCAAGCTTTCTGACACGGAATTTTTTACTGATCGGTTTATAATTTAAACCTATAACTGAAGCATGCCTAATAATTAGTTAACCTGTTAGGGGGAAGAGGCTTTCTCTGTATTTGGGACTGCCAGAAAAAGCAGTCACTTGAAGTTTCAAAATGAGTGCTCCATTAATCCCAAACAAGTCATGTTATGCCCAGCTTCAGGACAACCACAGCGAAATAAAAAATAATAATGAAAGCACAGTGACTATGGGGGATACGAATGCCAACCAAATAGTGACAAAAGTTAGAACCACGGAAGGGGATATCAAGAAACGTGATTTGACAGATGAGAGTGGGAATATACACCCTGGAGGATTAGAGAAAGTTACTCACCTGAATACGGAGCAGAATAAACTGGCCTTCAGAGACCCTCGGACCTGTAACAGCAGTGTACAGGAAAGTAAACTGCCCTCAACCACAAGCAGGGAAATAGGGAAAGACTCTAGGACCAGCGAAGCTAAGGATATATCAAGGCATATCAGGATTAGCCGAGGACAAAGTCTGTCCAATTTAAAAAGCAGCACAAATGATGCTAACCTGGAGGTTGTTTCAAAAGGTGATGTTGGCCTCACCCAAAACCTTTCTAAGGGTAAAATGTCCAGGACTGTGGAGATGGAGAGAATAAAAAGGCTTTCTCTGGGCAGACCGAGTAAATTGTCTCCTCAATCTGAAACATTTGCAAAAGAATGTGTTGGCCGTGTGTCGTGTAAACGTCTGCTTTCTGCATCATTGGATTCCATTGACAGGTCACACCATTTGATTGGAAATACAGAGAAATCACAAAAAACATCCACAGATCATTTTCTCGGGATGGTGTTTCATCCACTTGACAATACCTCAGAGGAAAATATTGTGTTTTATTCCAAACCATCTACCTCAGGGAACAAGAAAATAAGTAAACCAGAAAATGTACCAAATGTTAACACTGAAAGCACACTGCATACTTCTCATACCAATCATCATTCATCTACTAAGCCCAACGAGACTGCTAGTAAATCAGAAGCACAATTAGGTCAGGGTGATAAAAGTAAGAAAACGGACCTTAAGACTGCACCATCTCTACAATCTAAAAACACGTGCCAACAAAAGATTGAGAGAATTACGCTGGTAGAGTTACTGGAGTGTCAAAAAGACAAAAGCACAATAGTGCAAGAAGAGAAAAGGTCTGTGTCCGACTCATCAAAATTTCAAGCATCCCATCTTCAAGACATCTGTAATAAAGTAAAGGAACCACTGTCAAGCCAGGTGGTAACCTATCCCGATGACAAACTGCAAAGTGATAACTTCACCGTCAATGGGGAAGGGAGAGGAAGTAATGACAGTGACAGCAGGGCAACTAGCCAGGTTAGTGAGGAATATTCTACTGACAAAGAAGTGGAAACAATATTCCCACTCACCTGTGATAGCCAATCCAGTGGCAAAGTGTCACCTAGACAAAACGAAAATTTACATGAAGTTGATGCAGGTTGCATGGAAACAGTTGGTGAACAGATCTCTCTGATACATAACACTAACATACCTGACAGCAGACCCTTGCAAGATAATGAGAATAAACTGATGCTAGTCAAAGGAGTCACCGAAGATGCTGCCATGCCTGTTTCTGATCTCTCAGATCAGCACAGAGCATGCAGTGCAGAGACAGCATCGAACCAACAACCTGACAACCACGACAGTGATGTGGAAACCTCAAGCTTTTCGGTTCCAAGTACAAAGACAGCTCATGCACAGAAACATCCTCCAGACGAAGCACCAGAGAGCTATAAGGCTTTGGCAAAGGCTGATACCCTTTTATGTGCCCCAACTCCCGTGCGCCCAGTGGCAATGCTGGATGTAAATAGTCAGCCCGCCCTATCTAACAGTAATTTGAAGGACCTTTATGCACTTCATGTTGACAAACTGTCACCCTCCTCAGTCCTACCTCCTGCTGACAGTACGCAGTTGTTAAACATATCCCCTAAAGTGCCTCTCAAGGCTGCTTGCAGCAGCGCAATCCCCAAACCTATCCTGGTCCACCCCAAGGGCTCCCTTGCAGATAAGGCGGACGTGGACAGTGACTACAGCGAAAAACTGGAAGAAAGCATGGAGGTGAAACCTGCAATACCCAAGCCCAAACATGTGAGACCTAAAATCATCACATACATTAGAAGAAACCCTCGCTCAATAGAGCAGCTTGACCCTTCATTTGCACCGCCGGGGCTGCCTTACAGTACCCCTGCGTGCGGCGTGCCAATCTCTACCGAGCAGAAGGCATCCAATGGAGGGGAGGTGAAGCCCCCCACCATCCTGTACGACAAATTTAAACCCGACATCCAGAAGCCAAGGCTCTTCAGTTCTGGATTGGTGGTGTCAGGAATTCGGCCCCCGGGACATCACTTCGGACCGATGAGTGAGAAGTTTCTGCAGGAGGTAAGGAGGTAGCTTTGACAGCCTCATTTGTATGCCAAGTGGTGATATTTGCATACTTTCGCTGCCAGAAGCTAGTTGTCAAACCTTAAATAAGACGTATATCCTAAATCAAGGAAATATGTGATCATTAGAAATACACTTAACTGTTTCTGGCATCAACCCTGTTGTGGTGTCTGATCTGTGACTGGAAGTTGTCACTGTATTCCTCCAATGTTTTCCAGCAAGCCAGTCCCTTCCTAGTAGTATAAATAGAGATGTTTAAAAAGAAAAAGACACACTATTTGAATTTATCCATAAATGGTTCTTCTATTTTTTCTCAAAGAACATCTTTGAGAAATGAATATAATTTGCCCACAGAGAGACTTTTCCTCCTTAATGGGAAACTTGGCAGGTTTTTACAGACAGAGCACCAAAGGTCTATATGCATCCTCTTCTGTTTAACTATACAGAAAACCAGGGACTATCAGAGTTCTTTTTAGATTATATGTATAAAATGCAGGAAGAGATTCACTTTGACTCACTGTAAAGCAGTGTGCTATAGCAACAAGTTTCTTAAATATGAAAACTTGCCTGTGAAAGTTTTCCTCAGTAGCCAAAAGGTAATGGAAGTCCCTCTGCACAGTTCTGAGCCCTGACATCTTGTTGTGTTTTCACCTTGGCTGGGCAGGAGTCCAGGTACCCTGCAATCCCTGCTGGGAGGTGAGCACAGTGGTTGAAGGTTGACCTTGCTTGGTAGGTGGAGAAAGGGCATGGAAGAGGGCATTACATTCAGGTCTGTGATGTGCCCTCGAGTTCACTGCTTTGGACCTAGGATAGCTCAACAAACAAGCTTTGTGTATAAATACCGAAGATCACACAATTTTATTTAATTTGAACCAGACTTTAAAAAAAAAAATAATTATATATATATATATATTATTTTTTTGCTGTGCCTCATGGTGTGTTATTAAGGCTCTCTTAATGCCATGTCATTCTACATGCAGTATTTATCTAAAGAATAGCATTGAAATAACACATTTGGTGACGGTGTTGACAATCAAAAGCCATCAAATACCCATACTAAGATATCATGTGTGAGTATAGATTGATGCTTCTGGCATGTTAACAGGCAACCTAGAGACTGTTGAACTGATCATGGACTATAGTTTTTAATAGAGTACCATCTCATCCCAAGCACCGGAAGGGCAGTGCTGCCCTTTTCTCTTCATCTTCCAGCTCTATCCCTTACATTTTGCATTCAGAAGAGGAATTATTAAAGTCTTTTTGAGCTTGTATATGCCACCCATTACTATGGTATCTTCACAGTCTCCCGGTAAGGTGAGGGAAAATTACCGTAAGGTGAGGCAAAATTACTAGGTTATTACCATTTAACTGAAATTTAAGACAAAATAACACAGACTGTGTAACTGTTTGGCTGATTATAGGGTGACATGACCTTCTGAAGACCATAGGTTTCTATAGCCCATACAGTCGAGTTTGGGAAAATCAGGCAGCATCAGCAGACACAGCTGGAAGTGAAAGACCAATTTTTGGGCACTGTGAAAGACTGTTCTTAACATGAAAAGGACTTAGGTTGTGGCAGGTCTGCAAAGTGGTTTATTCTAGACAAGAGTTAGAAGGATGACAGGTATGAGCTAGAGAAGGCCGAAGCATCATATCCCTCTCCAGGAAATATGATTTTGGGAGGATATTTCAATGGGGGTAGTGTGAGCCCAAGCAAGGAGCTGCTTCAGAGAAGCTGTATTGCCTGGAGGAGATACTGAGTTGATCAAATTGAAGTTCTAAGTTTGCATTAGCTCAGGAGTCAGGATTTGTAGGATTAGCTGCTGATAACAGGGGATGACATTTAGTCTCTTCTGAAGCCACCCTAAAAGCAAGTACCTTAATCCCCTGCTGGTAAGGGGATGACAAAGGGGAGTGCTTTGGGTCCAGAATGAATCAAAAGAAAGGATAAAAAGGGATCTGTGCAAGTGGACAGATGCTTAAAAGAGAGGCTTTGCACAGTGTCTGTTCATGGCAGATGACTGATGTGTGATCCAAAGGAAAGCAATTAGAATGGGCTGAGGGAGACCAAAATCACCCTGGCAGATTGACAGTGCTGAAGACTCAGAGCTCCTGTAGACAAGGAGGTGCTGGGGCAGGATGACTACTCTACATCACCTTTGTGAGGGAAAAACTCCCAGACTACCCTATTTCACATGTCCAATTTGGGCTTTGGAGTGCTTTGATTAGCATTTTATAGCTCTTTACATAGCTCTGATAGGGAGTGTTAATAGCTGCTATCAATCAGACCTGTAATCTCTAAGCAGCCTTCAGCTAGCTGAACGGTAGGCACAGTCAAATACCCCTTTGGGAGCCATCAGCTTAGAAAGATAGGGAGGTGCTGTCTTGGACAGGAGACTGCAGGGCAAGACCTAACTGAGGAAGACTCAAGGGCTAACCCTCAGAGCTCCTTGTGCTGCTGGTGTTAAAGCAAGGCAAATCCAGCTCTTTGGAACATCAACATAGCATGGAGGTAGATCTTCCTTGTGTGCCTTCATAAAAACAAAAAAAACACCTCCTACTTAAAAATGCTCTAAAAAAAATGGAACAAACAAAATGTTTAGAAAATCTGATCAACAGTAAGACACAGCTTCCAAGGCTCACGCAAGATTGTCCATACGACTGTATTGGGAACACACTCCCCAGCTCAGTTTCCTCCTCAGCTCACCCAGAGCCTGTTCCCAACAGCCACCATGGACAAGAGCAACCTGTTGTGGAGGGAGAGAGTTTACCTGTATGAATATAATCCATGCTTTACCAGATAGGGGGCCTTGGCACATTATATTTGCTACCTTATGGCTGCTCCCAAGAGCCCTGAGTCTAGCAGGGGTCCTTAAGGGGAGGTGCAGATCCCCAGCTCTTCTGCCTGTCTCCCCAAGGTCATGCTTGCCCCATTCAACCATTTCTGGGGCTATTTGCCAACAAGGATATTTTTCTGCTCCATAGAATACGGACTAAAGCCTGCTGAAGTGAAGACCCGTTAAAGGGGTAGAGGACGTTGTTTTATATATAAGCAAAGCTGTCTTGTTTTTCCCCTCCAGATGTGAAATGTCTGAATCAGTTTTGCTGACTATTTTCCCAAATAATTGCCCGAAGCAGGCACTTGACAAAAAGGATTCTTGCTTGAGGCTTTAATGTTTGACAATGTTATAAACAAAGTAACATGAAGGAAAATGTTGAGCAACCTTACCTGCTGGCAGCACTGCTCAGAATTACCCAGGTTGTGGAAATTCGTGAATGTTTCAGGTATTTGCTGTAGACTTTCCAGCTCTTTCTAACAAGTTCATTAATTTGAACTGTGAGTGGTGAGTGGGGAATGTGCAGAGAGTGATACACACTACAATTCTGAGCTGAGCTTCCTTTTAGCTGACAGGCTGCCAAAGATCTTTTCTTTAAAAGTCCCTTGTACAAAAATCTGGTACAGGACACTAACAAGACTTATATGAATCCAAATCTCTCCTAACTGCTCTAAGATGGTTTTATAATCAATAATTGCACATGATTCTATTGGGACCACTTGAATTCCACACTTGAGGAATTCACTGTTAAATACGAAAGGAAAAGGGATGTATCTGCCCAGGGAGGTGGTGAGGGTGTTCAAGGAAAGGTTGGATGTGGTGCCTGGGGACATGGTTTAGTGGGTGACATTGGTGGTAGGGGGGTGGTTGGACCAGATGATCTTGGAGGGCTTTTCCAACCTTAATGATTCTGTGATTCTATGGATTCTATGACCATAGAAAGTTTATGTCTCCCTATGAATCAGGTTCTTTGAGAACCTGAACCTCTATTTCCTGAGAGACAGTTGGGTAAATCCTTCTCACTTCTTCCAGCGTGAGAAAATGTTTTATCCTTGTGATTGGTTTTGTGTGCATATTCCTGTGTTACTCACAGCATACTGTCAATAAAGATGAAAATGATGTGACTGAAGGTTTGGTTAAGCTGACCCAGTTTATCAAAGTTGTATGGTTTCTATATTTAAAGATTAACTCTATTCCTTATACTAAAGGACTTGGCATTGGCATGTTTGCTGCCAGTTAAATATGAGATGATGGAAAGAGTATAGTGAAATCAGATTGAAATAAATTCATCAGGGAGAAAAAAAATAATTGAATCTTATCCAAGAAACAATCTCATATCCAGAAGTTGAAAATAAGAAGCTAAGCATCTGCTACAGTCCAGGCATAGAAGATCATCTGTACAGTAAAAACCCGCATCCTAACTTGTAGAAATAGGTCATAGAAGTGTAATAAAAATGGAAACTGGTATATCTCATGGCAGGAAATAGTACTGCAAACAAAGGAAAAAATATAGAGCAAAAATGTAATACTCAGTGCTTGTTGCATCTGTCCTCCTAGTTCCTGTACAGATGCCTCAAAGATGCTATACTTAATAGTTTAAAGCCAATCTTGTCTCTTTTAGCAAATTAAAGATTTGCTAAATTAGGATTAAAGCTCTTGCAACAGCTAGGATCAAAGCTTTTATAGCCAATGTTAAACTGCATATTCTGAATGCTCATAATTGCTAAATAGAAATTGATTTGGCATATTATATGCATCATAACTTGCAGCAGAGTTAATTAATTGCCAGTTACATTTCTTCCTAGGTAGCCTATGGCTCTTTTTTGATTAATTTTTAAAGAAATTTAGTTCAGATTTCGTATTTCCTAAGCCATTTTTTTTTCCTCTGGCCTAAATGAGATGCAATGAAAAAATATTCATGGGTCCTTGCTAGATTATGATGATTATGCATTTTATAAGGAAATGGTAAAGTTGGACTCTACCCAGAAGAGCGAACAGTTCTTTGCAAATGAGAGAGATGAAAGCCCAGAGAGTTTTTGGCATTGCTCTATGCCCTCATCCTGAGATGGGGAAAGAAGTATACAGAGGTGAGGATCAGGGGTTGGCTGGAGTATAGAGGGATGCAGGGACTCAGCTGGGGAACCAGGTCATTGTTTGACTGCAAGCTCTCCAGTAACAGCCAGCTTGCTTGAAGCACGTCCAGCGTGGGACTTACTGTGCTGGCCTCACAGAATATGCCCTGTAAAGTACTGAGAGATTTGTCACTGACTTTTAGGAAAGAAACATCTATTTATGACTAGCAGTAAATGTTTCACGTCTACAAATTTCCTTTTTTTTCACCAGATCAATTGTGCAGCTGTGTTTTATAGCTCTGATTTGGAATATTCTGTCAGCCCCTGATAATAAAACATACAGAAACACGCACACTTCCACAACCGCGTCTCTTTGGGAATTTAGGGGTACAGATTACAGTGCAGTAAGAGCACATGGAGTTTTTTCAAACACAAACAATTTGGCAATCCCATTTCTCTTATAAGGTGAATTAAAATACCTTTGACTCTATTTATAACTGTTATGTTAAAACAGACTTCCCCAAATTGTATCTATCTCAGTAAGAGTATTTTAAATAATTTCTAATAACAGTTCCACTTGCACATTCTCTGGGTGTATCCAACTCTTTAAATGATATCACCTTTCAGGTCTTTACAGTGAATTCATTTTCAATATTTGAAGATTTTATTTTATTTTTGTTCTGTTGTTAGTCAGTTTGTCTATTTTCTTTTTGGGAAGAGATCAATTCTTTATTTGGGTTTGTCTGGATTTTGTGATTGGAACATGTGTATTTGTGGAGAGGGATTCATATGATTAGACCATCACTTTTTAAAAGTCTGCAATGGTCTGAAGCCCAGACTCATGAGAAGGGAAAAATAGCCTTTATAAGCAATTTAGAGATACACATTCTCTGCATATATTCATTTATTGCATAATATCTGTGTTAATGATTTTTCTGTAGGTTGGGGAAAGGCCTGCAAAAGATGAATTTTGTCCTCCACCATATACCCACTACGAGGTTCCACCAAGTTTTTATCGATCTGCCATGATACTCAAGCCACAGCTAGGACTGGGTGCAGTCTCCAGGTTACCATCTGCAAAAAGCAGGATTCTCATTGCAAGTCAAAGATCCTCAGGTACCTGTCTTCATCAGCAAGGAGAAATAGCAAGTGCTCCCAGCCTCTATCACCCTGATGCTTCAGGTAAAGTATGAACTTTCTTTCCTTTCCTTTAACTATAGTTACCAATAAGAACCTTTTTTCAGACGTAAGTATCACAAAATGAGCAACATCTTAACCTGACACTACAAAGCTCCAATAACACTCTTTGAGAAGTGTCCTTTTATCCTGAGGCAAGGCTGACTGAAGAGTCTGGGGCTTGCACAAAGGTTATTTAACAGGTCATTGCCTACAGAGGAGGATCAATTTCAGTAATAATTCTCATTGTGCTCTTTTTCATCTTACTCCTCCTTGTAAATACCTGAAAAGTCTTTGCTTTTGTCGTGTGGAAGATAATGGAACATTTTCTCCCATCATTAAGATCCCATTTTTCAGTCTGTCTATGATATTGTTCATCATGTTGTGTTATGAAAGTGTTGGTGGTAGTCAGATATGCCAGCAGAGACCTTGATCCTCTGAAACCCTAGTATACACCTCTTTGGAGACAATGTTTTTGATACCTTTTGATTCCCAGCTACTATGCAGGGCGCTGCATGACCCCAGGCTGAATTACAGGGGAGGGAAAAGTCAAAAGTGTGCAACACCAGAAGACAGAGAGAATAATCACCTCTATAGGACACTTCTTGGTAGCCTGGAATAGCTTGGAGGTTTTAACAATGTACATTTAAGCAGCAAGTTCATGGACAAATGAAAATCAGTAATTGCCAGTGAAAAGTAACAGCTGCTTAACAGTCTGCAACTCTGCAGAGATCTTCAGATAATATTAAAAAAGGATGAAGTTAAGTAATGACTTGAGTTCATACAGTCCATCCTCTTGCCCCAGGACAGAATTCATTTGGATAAATGTTTATTTAACCTATTAATGAAAAACTATTTATAAAAACCTCCAATATGAGAGATTCTACAGCCTCTGAAAAGGAAGGCTGCTCGAGTTAAAAGTTTTCCCTGGTGTTTTGCCTAATTTTTGTTGCAATTTATTTCCCCTCCTATCTGGAGAGGAATCACAGAATCATTAGGGTTGGAAAAGACCTCCAAGATCCAACCATCACCCTACCACTGATATCACAAACTAAACCACGTCCCTAAGCACCACGTCCAACCTTTTCTTTAACACCCCCAGGGATGGTGACTTCAACATCTCTATGTAGCAAATACTAGTTCAGCCATACATGTTGAGTTCAGCCAGCACTGAATGTGGGAATAGATGTGCAGAGAGCAATTGTATCATACTTTCCATTTAAATGAAAATGCAAGAAGCTGCAAGTTCAGGATACGACATGGATAAGCCCTTGTGTTAACAGAAGCAAGTTTGGAAGACATAAATGAGGGCAATATACAAACAGGTCCTATTAACAAATCCAGTCTCTTTTCTGCTCCTTGGAAATAATATCACCTTGATTTTTATTCATCCAGCTTAATTAGCCTGAATCACTGATTACTGCAGACATAACTTTTCTCTAGCCATTTGTCATCTATATAGGACCATACATTATATATATTATTTGTGTATATGTGTATATATATATACATACATTATTTTTATTATTTTACTGTCTTCCTGTATTGAAATTCTAAAATCTAAACAGTGTCAGCCTGTCCTTCCTATTTATTGCCTGTAGTATCAACTTCAAAAATTCCAGTGAATGAGAAATATACATGAGAAAATTGCAATAGCTGTTACTGCGATTCCTATTCCACTGAAGTTCCTTTTCCTGAAGTTTTTCTATTTCTCAAAAGTTGGGGATTTTTGAATCTTATCACTGATTATTTCTTGGACCTTGCCTGCTTTGGACTCAATTTAATCTGGTCAATTTAAATCAACAGCTCTCTGTAATTTCCTTCCTACAACTGTTATTTTGTTTGTTTCTCTCTAGCCTGTTGATACCTCACTGTTTCAAAGATTCTATTAAAGATAAATCATGGTAGTCCAATAATTTGTCTGCCTTCCCCTTCAGGATCCCAAAGTGTACCTCATCTGGTCTTTGGGCTCTAACTGTTTTTATTGATTTTAAATTACCCAAGACTTGTTCTGGAGAGGTTGATAATGTCTCTAGTTTTTCACTGTCAACCCCAGGACACGTTTTTTTTTTTTTCACTTCTGGCATCTCACTTTCCATTTTCCTTGTGAGATGAAGAACATGTTTAACTTTTCTGCAACATCTTGTTCTGCTGCAAAGTACTTCACATTGCTTTCTGGTGATTCTATGCCTCCCGTTACCGATCTTTCCTAAATTTCTGATACCTTTTAATTAGTTTACATTACTTTTAGGTTTTGCATTTTATTTCACATTCATAAATTTGAGTTTTCTTTGTTCAAAGCCGTTTCTTTGCATATCCTAAGTGACTTAATCTTTCATCAGCATGTAACTTTATAAGTCAGCTTATCAGTCTTTTCATCTTTACTAATTTCTTTTAGGAAGAATGAATTGCTCACGAAAGAGGATCAAGGGACAACAGATAAGACAGTACCGGTGTAAGATTGAGAGAGCAGCAGAGAACTGCTTTCTGCAGTTGTGCCTGTGCTGCTGCACAAATACAGACCAGTATCATTTTCAGCTTTTTGTCAACCATTTTCCTATAATTTGGCAGTTTATTGTGGTATTAAACTTTGATCAGCATTATTGGTTTTGATGAGTATTTGAGAAACACAATTAAACGTACCTTAGATGGAATCATATTTACAAATATAAGGAAAAAAATGCATGAGCATATTGTTAGCATGTTGGAAGTGGTGCTGGTAAGACCTTTGATCATGGGTATTGTGGGGTGTAAGGGCTTGGCTGACAGCACTGAAAGCAGACGAGGACTAGCAGGTATTTTTCACTCAAGCATACTAGCCCTGCCTTCAAGAATGCTAATCAGCATCTCTCGCAGCTCAATCCTGAGCTTTTAATCCAGTTTTTAATCCTAGTGATTTCAGTCCTGCCCTGAGGTAATGGAAACAGGGATCTAGCCAGTTGCCATCCAGTGACAAAGTGTGGGGTACCACTGAGGATTTTAAAATTAAAATTGCCATGGCACAGTATCGAGGACAGAGCCAGGGCCTCATAATAAGGATTTTACTCCCCTCTGCCATGCCTTTCATAATGTAGCAGCCTGCTTAAGCAGCACTGATAAGCTGAGTGGTTTGGCCCATGTATAATGCTAATACTCATAAAACTGGCTGTAAGGTAATTGATAATTAAATCCCTGAACTGCTGTGATGGATTGCAAGTATGGCTCGTACATTAAGGGCTTTGTTAGTTTTAAGACATACCAGGTAGAAAGTGAAATAATGATGAATGTTCCCACAGTTCTTCAAGTGTGATGCCTAAAATGTGATCATTCATCTGTACGACACTGGACACAGGCATTGACAGTGGCTGCAAGTTACTTACTGACCAGTAATGCTACTTAGGTGATGTTTTACATTGGGTGGGTCTGGCAAGCAGTCTGACCTGTAAAGAGAGGCATTGTGCACTGTAGGTAAGATAGGAAGCCACTGAATTTGGGTGTATTTAAGCGTATATTAGGTATCTGAAAGCTGAACTTTTGTTTATCGTATGTAAATTGACTCTGCTCTTTCTTTGGGAAACTTGTAATTCAAAACAAGCATTGAAGGATATTGTGTCTAGAACATATAAATGATGAATATGTTTCCTTGGTTCTGAAGACTTGGAGCAAATGTGGCAGGATATACATGTACATTTATTAGCTGATTAATTTAATGGGATTAATGTCTGATTTTGAGAAGTATGACAGAGATCTCATCATTAAATCTTCACTTAATTCTACACTTTTTTGAGTAGTGCTTATGGTAATTTTTTTTCTCAAAGAGGGAGTTAATGAAATTTTGTTTCCTTATTACCTCTCCATCGATTGAATTTTCCAGTCCTGAGGGTCTAGCAGTTCTTTTCATTTCTCAACAAGTCAACTCTTGTTAAAAATTAAATTTACATGCACATCAGGACAGCAGTGTTTCTGATTTACCGAGACACACACAGACATATGTATTTGTGTATTTGCAAATATTTATTGTAAATTTCATCATTAATGCTACAATATGTCTTTAGCTTTTTCCTGATAAGATTTCAGCTTTGCTTTTGTGCTGATTTTCAGGAATACCTAATACTTGAACAAGTAATTGTGCTTTGGTGATACAGAAGAGGTTTTGAAGTTTCTTCCTGAAGTATTTCATTACTGCTGCTCCAGCTGCATGCTCATTTTATAGGCTTGCAGTCTGATGTACTTGCATTTGAGCTGGAAAACTTAATTCTTTTTTTAAGAAGAGAGGTGAGAAGTTCAAAATCAAAAATATTCTGTAACCCTCACTAATCTGCAATGGTTTCAGTTGTCACTCTCAGCTTCCTTTGGGTGAGCAATCTGATTGCATTTCCTAAAGAAGAATGAAGTACTTTGAAGGGAAACACTCCTCTCCATTGAAGTCTTGCTAGGGACATTGTCACCATACTCAAGACGTAGCCATATGCCACCTCTCAGCTCCCATCAGTTACTGACTCTTCAAAGACTCAGAATACCTCTTATGAGAAGGGTTGCCTATATGGCAGTGTTGTATCAGAGATAATCCAGGTGTAGTAGCAAACAAACACCTCATTCCCTACCTCTTCCCCAAGGAGAGCTGATCATAGCTGGCTGGGCACCTGCAGCACATCCGAGCAGGTGATGAGCAGCAGCTTGGTGGAAGATGTGGTTCCAGTGCACCAAGATGTGGTCTTGTTGCCCAGTACTTTGAGAAGAAAATGCAGTGAGTGTGGCTCTGTTTCTTGTTTCTGTGGGCTGTGTTGCACATCAGCTCTAGAAAGTAAACACAGACATTTGCAGCTTGAATGAAGCACAAGCTGACAAATTCTTGGGGTAGTGAGAAAGTGCTAAATGGCCTTGGGTTGTCTGGGAGCTAGAAAGGCACAGAGCAGCTGTAGGGGGGGGGTTAAATATGAAGCAGGTGATGGTGAACATTTCCTGCTATGTGATGTTCAACAGGGACAACTGTTTTGCCTTTGGAACTGGCCAGTCCCAGGCTTGACACTATTTAGACGGGAGAGCATCAGTGAAGCTGGGCATAATATGCTCACTGTTGTAAAACCTTCTGGTTTAAGGTGTAGATAATTAAACCTTTTGTTTTCAGGCCCCTTTCCTCAGTTATTGTTCAAAGGAAAAATAATTAGGTCAATAACAGGGAAAACACAAGGGTACTGGAAACAGAATAGGTTTCTTATTTGGCAGATTTGTTTTTAATCTCTGAAGTTATCAAAGACTGAGTTAACTCTGAGATGCCTTGAAAAACTGCTTGTATTATCTCTGACTAATTCTGCAAACATGTAGATAACATTTTGCCCCAGATTCCCCAACACAAGGAAAATGATGTTCAGAGCACCATCTAAAAGAAGGTGAGCTCTTTGAGAGTGAATCACACCTAGTGGTGGAAGTTTTAAGAGAAAAACTTGTCCAAAAAAAAAAAAGAGGAAAAACAAACAAAAAAAACAATAACCAAGAAAACAAAGGCTTAGCATGGATCCCTAAATCACAAGTGGAGTTGTGGAGTTGAAGTCTTGAACTGCTACTTTCTCAGATGAATACATCCATGGAATTCATTTCTATAGCTTTTCATTTGTTTTAGCTAAAAGCTATTTCAGCCGTCACAGAGAAGTCACAGTAAAGGTGCTCGTTAGTTATACATGTGCATGGAGATGCGATTTGTGTGCAGTGCAGATGCATAAGAAGTCTCGCTCAGACTGTTTTTAAGGCTCCCCAGGCACGTCTGTTTTTTGTCAATCAGTTGTTACCTCAAAATGTTTTTGTCCTCCTAGATGGAAATAGTTTGAAGTGTCACAGAAAATCACTTGTGTGCCATACAGACAACAATACTTAATTCTATAATTAGCTTCAGGCAGTGAGGCAAGCTGGAAAGATTTTTGCCAATTTTTTGTTAAGCTTATTTTGGCAGATTTTTATTAAAATGAAAGCTGCTCATTAAAATAACTTTTGTTTTGTACTTGCAGACCTTGTTTGCAGGAGTGCTTCTACACTTCCAAGAAATAGAAATAGAGAACAAATACGCATCATAAAACTTGATGATATTTAGAACAGAAAACAGGTACAATAGGCTGATGCCTCATGTATTTTAATGGGAAAGAAGACACAAACTGACTTAGCTTTAAGGATTTGAAAGAATCCTTAATGTGGATAATGTCCTGCCCTCAGGTTCTTGTGAGGCCCTTGTGGTAGAGAAGAGCTGGATTACAAAGAAGGAAGGGAAAAGTAATTTAAGGAAGATGATGAGTTCAAGACACAAAATATTGTTAGTTCAGGGGAAACATGAATAGGAGTCACAAACTGAGAAGTCCCCAAGCACAGAAGTGTGAGAAACACTGGGAATAATCCGCACAGAACTGAGAGAATGAATTTGAAGGTAGAGGTAGAGATGGGTAGAGATGGGGCATTGTTTGCTTCAGCAAGGCGCCAAAGTTTGTCACTAATTTATACCTCCTGGTTTTATGAAATTTCCTCTTCAGCAGCAGTGTTGGTGGCTCCACACTCACTCTGCAGTGCTCAGTGCCCTGCTTGCTGCAAGCAGGTGGTTGTGTGGTGGCAGAGAGAAGAGAGCTTGGGGACTCAGCACGGGCATCCCTGCAGTAAAGCTGGGGACATGGGAGTCCCAGGTGGACCTCACAGTCCTAGGACAAGCTCATTTCAAATGCTTTTTAAACAAAACTATTTCTAACCACTTCCCTCCCTGCCCCAGTGGATTTATTCCCCTATTCTGCTGCAGGAAATCTGTGATATTTATAGCTTTTTGCTCTAGAATGGAAAGGTTTCTCCCTCCACCTTGATTTTCAGTGGTTCTTAGGAAAAAGAAATCTCATCTCTCAGCTTGTGTAGCACAGGCCTAGTTGTGCATTTTTTTTGGAAGCCTGGAGAACCCACAAGAGACAGCCCCATAGTTTTTCCCTGCTGCCACTGACCTGGGCAGGTTCATTGCTCTGCAGTTGAGCTTACAGCTGCTTGCTGTGGGACCTTGTGTTTGCTTCACATCAGGAGGCTGCTTGGGTTTGGCCCTGCCATTGATACAACATGGAATGTTTTGCACACTGTGACTGTTTTGTGTGTCTTTTGTCATACGTAGTGTCATTAGTATAATTAGTCCTGCAGGTACACGGCCAATGTGATGTTCGGTCATGCCCTTGCATGACTTGGGTCATGCTCCAAGTGTGTGGCTAGGTAAGTAGGATGTCTGGCCCATCCAAAAACCAGCTGCAGTGCTCATATCAGCATTGGTGAGGCCATGACAAGTCTGGCTGTGGAAGGGAGAGATTGTGGGGTCATCCTTCTGTAGGAAAAAGTGCAATCTTACACTAGCACAAGCCAATCTGCATCCCTCCTTGAGCATTTGTCAGTGCAGGAAGATACTAGTCCACTCTGAGGGATTCTGATCAAAGATAATAAGCATGTAATTCCTGGCATTTGGGACTCCTAATGCCTCTCACTGTATACTTCTTACTGTTCCTACATGAATATTAGTGAATTCTACATGAATATCTGTAATTCACACCAAGTGCAAGCTGTGCTGGTAGCACTGAGGGAATCACTGGGAGCAGGTTCTGTAGCATCTTGCTGTGTAGTCATTCGGATGTGAATGTCAAGTCCCAGCAGCGGGGAGGGAAGAAGTCTAGCTTGGTGTTGCTTTACAGGGAACCATAAAACAGCTGTAATAGACTGCTGTCAATGTAATACTGCACCAGCCAGCAGCAATCTGTTATCTGTTCTCCTTGGTAATGTGCCTGCACTGCCCTTCACCTGCACCTGGAGCCCACAGCTCCCTCGGGGCACTTCATCACATAGTCCAAAGGAAGCCAGATTCAGCATCAAAGTCCAACATCATCCCTGGTGGTGAAAAAAATGTCATCAGGGAATTTTTAGTCCTTTGTTACACACTGCAGGTATTTGTTACTTTCTTTATGGTTACTCTCCACAGTACATCATCCTCTGGGCTGCTAAAGGTGCAGTGGCCAGACATCCAGTTCCTTGTGTCTTAATAGAGGCCTGAACTCATGAAAAGTGGTTGAAAAAATACATTTTTAAGAGTTTAAAGGATATATATTATTTCATTTCAATTATTTTGTTGATCAAGAAGCATTTTTTTTTTTAAATAGGAATGTGTTTTATAGGAAAACCACTCCTTTTTGGCTTGGTGTTACAGATGGTGCTATTTCAAAAGAAACAGCTTAGGTCTGTAGAACAAAACTTAGTATTGTTACTGTCATGAGGTACACAACTATCTTTCAAAATCCCTGTAACATTTTTTTCTGCTCAAAGGAATTAGTCTTGTTTTCTATAAACTCTCCTCAAAGTGTAATGCTTCATTAACATTAATAAGGCTGTGACCTACATAGTTTACAATAGAATTAGATACTGTAATAATGTGAAGACCATATTTGTACCGTGTGGTTAATTTGTATCTTTCTTTTATATTATGAATGCTCACTGCACCCTTTAAAGTATGTGTCAGGTTAAGTCATGAACAGCATTGACCAGATGGGAATGGAAAGAAGGTGACTTTATGGCTTTTTCTGGCAGAGTACATTGATAATTTTAATTCTACCTTGTCTTCTAACCTTCTGGCCCTGATTGCTGAAGCACTCAAGCATCAACTTTTAGAGAACTTTTTTTCTCTGCTTTTCAGGATGCCACAAGGAACACAAATCTGTTAGTGTCAAAAATACAAATGCTCTTTCCAAATGTACAGTTGAGTTATAGATCTGCTTGGTATCCAGGCCTTCAAAGCAAAACCAAAGCCAGAGCTTTAGTTCTTCCATGAAGACAATTTGAGACATTTATGGACTTGTCTTCTGGATTTGCCTGGGAAAGTTTGCCTAAGCAAGAACAGCAGAATGTGGGTAGGAGGACAAACTGGAGACAAATGACCAGTCGGTGCTTACCCCAGGCACACATGGTAGCCAAACTGTTGTTGTTGCCTAATTTCATCCTTTGTAAGCCCTCTATTGGAAGTTGTCTGAGACTTGGTTGATGTCATCCATGTAAGCTGATGTTTTATAGTGAGTTGAACACTCTCGGTATAAATGGCTAGTGGTATACTAAAAAAGTATTCACAGGGCATTCAACTTCACAGGGCAAGTTCTTGTTCCCAGGCATGGTGTGAGAGAAGGGCATTTTCTTTTAGCAAAATATGAAAGAAAGACTTCAAAGAAGTATTTTCTTTGATGGAATACAAAGAAGTCCTGTGTCCTTGAGGAGGATTGTTGGTATTCTACAATAGCTTCCAAAACTGGAGGCTATGCAATGACGTGTTTGTCTCAGAGTGTGAGTTTCTTTTAATTGGCACATAAGAAATGTAAAATTAGAAAGTGATACAGCATAAAAGAAGATAACTTAAAAAAAAAAAAAAAAAAAAAAAAGTAGTGGACTTGACCTACATTACTTGTTGGAATTTTGACTTTGTGCCTCATGGGTTCTTGCTGTATTTCATATTTTAAAAATTATGGCATCCTATAATTGTTTCACAGAATTACTTTTTAATCAAGCAAAGAATAAGACATTACTGCAGTTTGAGCTGCCCTCAAAAATTGTGTTCAGTCTTTTACTGACTTTATGTAGTTAGTTGCTACAAGCAGTATTCCCAGGTATGTCCCAGCTGAGTTTAATACAAAATTCTTTCTTTTTCCTTCTTTCAGTTGATCTTAAGAAAGGCCCATGTCCAAATGCTGCAAAGTCAAATCTCCCCAAGCCATGTCAGACTGGACTTCGTCCTCCAAGTTATTCGCGGTTGCCAGCGGCTAAGCTGGCAGCATTTGGTTTCGTCAGGAGCTCAAGCGTATCCTCCGTCTCCAGCAACCAGTCAAATGACAGTGCTCAGAGTGATCAAAGCAGGACAACCAACCGTAAGTCCAAAAAGTGGCCTTCTTTTGGGGGGGGGGATATAAAATAGATGTACTCTGGGATTGTCCAGACTGTAGTCTGCATACAAGGACTAAATCTCTGCAGAATTCACTGATCTGTTCTGTGCCACTGAGATGTAGGTTTGGTATCTTGATTTCCCAGAGTAATTCTATAAAATATTATTAATAATAGATGAATAGTTTCTGAATGTACATTGCACATAGAAGGAATTAGTTTTGCCTTTTGCGGAGAAAATTGTGTTGAGAGTGAACCTGAAGCATTTCTCTATTCGGTTTTTATGTAAAATACCTCTTCATACAAGCTGAAGTAAGTAAATAATCACAGTAATCTGTGTTTGGTAAGCACATTGCAGCCATGGAGAACAGTTTAGAATATATATAATCCAAAGTGAACAACGGAGTCTTTCTCATGCATTTTTTTTCTGTCTCTTAATATGCAGAATAATAAACATGTTTTAGAAAATTAATGCCGTTGGTATAAAATGTGATCAGAACTGATGTCGTAGCTATTGTCTCATCTCCAGACTTGGAAAGGTCCCTTGGCTGAAATGTCATTTCAAATCCTGTTTTCTGTAACGACTGTTAATTTTGTTAAGTACAAAATAATACCCACCGGAGTGTGCAGTCCTTGGGAAGTGTGCACAAGCCTTGGGCTTGCAGCAGAAAGGGGGATTGAGGGATTTTCATGCCCATTTTTCTTGCTTTGAAGACCAGATCGAGACTGAAGTGTGTCAATATCAAAGCAAGTGTTATCAGCTGGGAAGGGAAGCAGACAGGGGGACCAGGTGACATAAAGCACCAGAGGAGACAAGATGCTGCAGGCTCCAAAACCTTTCACTGTTTGTATTAATGCAAAATGAAAGACAATAATAAATAAAATGAAAGTAGTTAAAAGCCCTAAGGATTTTCCCTCTCCTCTCTTATATGGAATCAATGAAATGTAGAAGTGTCAGAACTCCATTGCGTTCTGACTTTTCCAGTGTTTCCAAGCAAGCACTTGTATCCTTGTTTTACTCTTGGGCTGATGGCTCATTTCTGTTTAGTTCCTACTGAGCTTTACTTTGAAAGTAGTCAATCTCTTTGCTTTACATTTTCACCCTACACCCTAAGTCTTTGGAAAGCATTTCCTTTTTTCTTGTGGTATAATCTTTTTGTCTTTGGTTACATACATTGTTAGGAATATAATTACTTAGTTTCTGATTAGTTCTAAGCTACATCTCTGCAAGAAATGTTGTGTAGCAATTTCAGGTGTGAATCTGAAAAAAAAACACCATGTGTAGTTTTTGCACTATCCTTGAACATAGCTGATGCAAACAGGTACATTTCATACATCTGAGAATTCTCTAAAAGGAAAATGCTCTAAACTGTGCAACCTGAAGCAACTGATCTCAGTTCAAAAACTGTACAAGAAGCACTAGTCATCTGAGACTCAGAAAGCTACATTTAGCTCTTCATTCGTCTTAAAAGAAGTTGATTTCATTTGTGTATTATGTTGTATTTTTTGTATTATATTTGTACATTAAGCCCTTAAAATCTGAAATCATATTTCAATCCCCACAAGAAAGTGGAAATATGTGTTGCATACATTTTGTTCCAGTCCACTTAGTTGAAGATGATAACCATCTTTAACTTATGATTACAATTTTGTGAACGACTTCATGTTGCAAGAATATCTCTGTATGGATATGAAAATTACCCAGGGGAAGTGTTCTGCTGGTACAAATTCATGTAGATATGAGCTTGGCCTGTCACCTGATGAAAACTGGGACCTATCATTTCTGCTTTTACACACAAATTAGATAACTCATCTAAGCAGTTGTCTAGTTTCTCTCCACTCCATGGGTGAGCAAGAGAATGGACATCTCCAGAGGGCCATCTGCCTGACGTGGTTTGTGACATGCACCGCTGTCTGGTACAAAAGTCACAACTTTTTAAATTTGTCTTTAATTCCAAATGGATAATGCTTCTTTCTGGACCAGGGTGAGAGAGCGAGAAGGGGCTTTTCCAAGGGGGTGAGTGCACACCCTGTATTTGGGGCGTTTGCCCTTGGGTGAGTCATCACTCAAGAAGTTACCAAACATCACCCATTTTCTTTGTATTAAAAGCAACATAATTCCCATTAATCACTCCTGATAGGACACCTTTCTTTCATGCATGGCAGAAGAAATGTTCTCTATGTACCAGCAAGAGTTAAATTAGGTGCCCAACACCCAGGGAGCACAGATGAGTTGCCTTCCATTCTGCTACAGCTTATTTAACACAGATCAGCAGTGCACTTCAACATGCTTGGAAAGCAACTGAAGAGTAGATGTAGGGAGAAGTATTGGCTCAGGAATCTTAGCATGACATGTTATTCCTTCCTTTCTCTGTCTGCTGGAAGAATGGTTTTATTTAAATTAAATAAATAGCTGATTCTGTAGTTACTACCTGAGATCGTGTCTTTGACTAAATCAGGCTTAGCAAAGGGCAGGGTAAAGTTTTACTGTTAATTTCCTAGCTCAGTAGGGTAGAAAATGCAAAATGATCTAGCTTCAGAAACCTTCAAAGATATACGATAACACAATTTCCTATTTAAGCAGTATCTCTGCGTGTCAGAGAGACAGAAGTAATTGAAAACATCTTACAAGTCTGCATATGTTATAAATAGAGGGCCTGCCACTGTTGAAAGTGAAGGGGCTCACCTCAAGATCTTATATCTGCCAGAAAAAAAATCACCATGTACTGGCAGTTTCTAAAAAGCAGATGGCTTTAGCCGGGTGGGAGGAAAACATAGGTTTATTCTGGGGGCAGAGTGTTTTATGGGAAACAGTGATTCTTTAAGAGGTCCTAGTGTGATCCTGTGCTTGCTTTTCTCTCCACTGCCAGATGTCTCGTGGTGTTAGCTCTTCCTGAACTCGTGATTCTTACATTTCTTTTCAGCAGTCCCAAGCGGTGTCTCTTTTTGACGTACTAATACCAGTGAAATGCTGTCTAGAGAGCAAAACCACACTTGTTTAGAGTAAGGAGACATGATGTTTGTGTTGCGGGGAAGTTTGTTACTGGAGTCGTGATGCAACAGCTTTGTTTCTAACCAGATTTCTCCCCTTCCCCTGACCTTTCTGCAAGCAGTAAGCCTGGATGCGGCATAGAGTTTGTGCTGTGCTTCTCAGCTGACTTTTCCTGGCAATTGCCTTGTATTCTTACTGACTCAATTAAACAGATTTGCAGTGGTGAGACACTGCCCTTTTCCCATGGTAGGGACAGGGCAGGCGGTGCAGCGCTTGCCTGCTTGCCCTCTCTCTTTCTTGGACTCTTGTCCCTGGAGTGTGGGTATAAGCGAGGCTGTGGTTCACTGATAACATACCAACTTCTACTGCCGTGCCATCAGCTGCTCGTCAGGATCAGCTGTAATGAGGCTCTGTTCCTAAGGGGTCCTGCCCAACCATGTGTGGCATCCAACATCTGTGGCATCCAACCTGTCCAGCCCGTCAGCAGCTTCTGGGGTAGGGAACTGACCTGTAATGCAGGGTCACTGCTCCATTCTGGCCATTTAAAATTCATTTTCTGGTGCTTACACACTTTGTGCACAGGGCAGCCAGAGTCCATGAAGCTCTGTGGGGACGGATGATGGTGGCATGTGAGGCAGCTTCTCACCTTGCTGAAGGAGGTGGGATGCAATGACAGAAGCCAAAGGCTTCTCCATTTTGAGAGATGCAGATGGGTGCTAGGATTGATCAGGAGAGCTGACCATGGCAAAGCACTTGCTGTCCTGCCATGTTCAAAATAAAATGGTTAAAATGGTTCAGGGTGAACATTTTGCTTCACATGCTGAGGGGCTGTTGTGTTTGAATAAAACATCTCAGAGAAACAGAAGCAGCAAGAGCTTGCCGCACCATATCAGAGGGGGCCCATTCTTTGTTGCTGTGAATGTTTCTCTCCACTCAGTGCAGAGCAAGCAGCTTTCCCTGCCACTTTCACGCCTCCCACCCTGTGATTTTCCACATGAGAGTATCTCTGTACCAACCTGCAGCAAGGCTCTGGTGAGGTCTTGATGTCTTCTGCTGGTACAAAGCCACAAGTTCTAACACTGCTGCACCTGGCTCAGCTCTCGGTCCTGCCAGCGGACCCCCCAGATTTGTACTGTGCTGCAAAATGGCTTTCCTGTAACATCTTTGTTCAAGGTGACCTAAAAAGTTCATGCTCACCCTCAGTTCCTGCCCACTACTCTACTTTTGAGATTTAAAAATGTATAATCTTCTAAACTATTTTTCTTTATTTATGCATATCAAAAAACTTTTTGATGTTGTTCACTTTCTAAATTGGCTAGGATTGAAAAACTCAGATACTTTAAGAGGGATGTAAGTGCTAAATATGAGAAAAATATGTGCGGTGCTCCAGGTGGGGTCTCATGAGAGCAGAGCAGAGGGGGAGAATCCCCTACCTTGCCCTGCTGGCCATGCTGGTTTTGGTGCAGTCCAGGATACGGGTGGCTTTCTGGGCTGCAAGTGCGCATTGCCAGATTGCGTTGCATTTTCCATCCACCAGTACCCCTAAGTCCTTCCCTGCAGACGTGCATTCTATACACTCTCATCCTGTATTCATATTTGGGATTGCCCCAGCCCATGTACAGGACCTTGCATGTGGCCTTGTTAACTGCATGTTGTTCATATGGGCTCACCACTCAAGCTGCCAAGGTCCCTCTGGAGGGCATCCCTTCCCTCCAGCATCGACCGCACCACGCAGCTTGGAGTCGTCCACAAACTTGCTGAGGGAGCACTCAGTCCCACTGTCCATGTCACCAACAAAAATGTTAAATAACAGCAATACAGAGGTCCCAACACAGCCCCCAGAAGGACACCATTCATCACTCGTATTCCACGTAATTACTTTTATGCACTTGATCAGAAAAGACTGTAATGTGGTGCAAGCACCACATGGGAAACACTTCATTAAGCACTGTGGAACAGTTTGATGTGTGGAGCAGTGCAAGAAAGTAGGATCGT